AACGGATTATATCTCGCGACGTGGAAAATGAATAAAGAACCGAGTTTAGAATAGTGATTTATTGATCACTATACACGATTTATTACAATTAAATAAATTCGACATATCGCTAACAGATTACACACTTTTACATATGACGAATTCATAATTGTGGCGTTAATGGTACGTACCTTTATGAACATATTTCATTATTCGTATTTGCGCAAATTATAGGTATACACATATTCACATTATATGCTTATTCGCGACGCTTAATACATTTTCTTTTGATTGCAGCATCGTATAACAAAACTAGCGCCGAGAGAACAATCCGAAGAAGATATCGCGCGGTTGTTCGAAAATTCGTTCACGATTTATTAAGAACGCATCCTCCGGAAACCGATTAAAAGCCAGCAACAAATAAAGAGTTATTTTATACCTCTGTACCCCGTGTTGTATTTATCCTTGAACACACTCTCAAACGAACATTTACGTACACTTGTTCTCTGTTTCGTGTCGGTAAAAAATCAACATTACGAAACTACCGCTTCGAACGCGATGAAAACGCTAATAAATAAATAAATAATTTAATCAACCGCTGGCAAAGAAATTTAAAAATATTTCGTGCGATTACGAACGCGCAGCGCACGAATTAAATAGCGAAGTCACCGTCTCATCAATGATCCTTGATAAAGCAGCGTTCGCCGAAGCGTAAAGGAACCCTGATGATCGATGACTTCGATTGCACGACGAAGAAATTTTTGACATTACGATAACGTTACGTTATGCCGTTGTTACGGTACATACTTCAAACACCTACGCCAAAACATCGTATATATTAATTAACAAAATTGGCTGTTTAAAATCGAGCTCTGCCGCGTTCGGAAGAGCTCACGTTAGCCACAGATCTCAATTCATATCTGAAGCAGTCAAAGATTATGTATTACGCGAATTTTGTATGCAATCGTTTTCTTTGATCTTCATAGACACTTTCCATTGCAAAACCGTTCTTCGGAGACGCCAAACACACACACACATACGACAAACACGCACCATCGGAATAATATATAGACATCGTAGAATCGATCGAGATTACAAATCGTTGCTCTTCGTTTCGATGTCGCGATATCGGAAACGCGAAGTTACTTTCTGTTACTTCGAGAAATATTTCGTACGTACTTTCCATAATACTCTACTATATCTTTTCCTCTTGAACATTCGGAAATGCAAATATATGAATGCGACGACTTAACAAATGCCTCTTCATTGAAACGCGCGAATGTCGTTTGTGTTCGACGGATCGTTGAAGGAAAATTAATAGTCGTCTCGTCACGGTCTATTTTTATGGGAAGCGATGCTTGAATTTCGAACGAAGCGGATCTGTGTACCGAGGTCGCACATATTAATTCATTTCGATTGATGCAAGAGAAAGCTGTGTCCATACCAATATATGATACAATTACGAAGATTTCTCGAAGCAACGTTAATTTAGATGGCATTAGGTGACACACATAGTTTCGTTGCCTCCTTACCTCTTGTTCCGCGAAATTCCAATCTAATTTTCAGAACGCAACAACGTGAATAATTGCTCCTCGAAGTTTCCGTGCCCGCAAATGATTTTCTTTTAAAATAATTTCCAATCGTTCGTCCATCTTGATCGATGCTTAATCGTTTAAAACAATCCAGTCCCGGATCGAATATTTTATATTCTGAAATTCACAGTAATTTATATAATTAATGGTTTCCACATTATTATATTGCACTTGCAAATTGAGCGCAGTTTTATTTTTAGTTTTATACGTACTTGCATTTTTTCTTCACTTTTGCCTCGTGTAGTCGTCGTTCCATGTTTAAACAACGAGCTTGTTGAAGCAAATGCATCCAAATGTTATAAGAACTCTGACATTCCTTTTGAAAAGTTGATAGTACACGCGTCACAGTTATCGTTGTAGGTGTACGTTCTTTCTCGGTTCATCTAATTCTTTTGAAACAGTTGTGAAAATGAATGTAAACGAATCGAATCAATTGGGCTTGAATTGAATTGAAATAAATTGAATTGAATTGAATTTATATGGAATTGAATATGGAATGAAAACTTGAATAGAACTTATACGAGGTTAAATAATAAATGAAAACTTGAATTGAACTTAAATGATATCAAATATGAAATGTGAAAACTTGAATTGAACTTATACGAAGTTAAATATGAAATGAAAACTTGAATTGAACTTAAATGATATCAAATATGAAATGTGAAAACTTGAATTGAACTTATACGAAGTTAAATATGAAATGAAAACTTGAATTGAACTTATATGATATTAAATATGAAACGAAAACTTGAATTGAACTTATATGAAATTAAATATGAAATGAGAACCCTTGAATTGAACTCGCATAAAATTAAATAGGAAATTAAAATTGAAATTGAACTTATACGAAATTAGATATTAAATTAAATCTATTTAAATTTAGCAGACATTAAATGAAATGTATGTTATTTGCGTAACATTAAAGCTTGGTTAAAAATGCCGAATTACTCACCATTTAACTTCCTCAGAGAAATGTTAATCTTTCAACGAACGTTTACCCGAGCATTTCTCTTATGTCGAACCGACTTCCTTTACTGCAAATACGAGACTGGCGATCGAATAATGGCTTTAGTCGAATTCCATCCTCTAGCCTATTGATCTCCGGTTCTCATTATCATATTCTACAATGATTGTGTGTAAGCACTTCTATTTACACAGAAAAAATACACGGAATTTACGACTCTCATTCAGTACGAGGTAAATATGTAACACAATGAATGCTAACTACGTATGTATTCCGAAACACGCGCGAACCATTTATTCTGCGCGGTAATGTTCGATATATTGGATAGTTAAACTGACTTTTACATTAGCATTGGATCTTAGATTTTATAAATTTATAGGATTCACTGCGAGATTTATTTATTTGATCTGTATATTTCTAAAACGGTTAATAAGAGGAATTAATTTGAATTTGATTTAAGATTCTGCATTTTAGATCATAATATATCCGTATAAACATCTGCGATCTGATTATACATTCAATTCCAAGGTGTTTCGAAGTTTAAAAATATTGCATCAATTTTTGGGATTGCAAATAACCTATGTTGAAATTACTGTATTAGTAATCTTCAAGATTTAAAATAAATTAAATTTAGTTCATGAAAAATTAATACAGATAGTAATACAGTTACAGTGTTCTTTGAGAAAACAGACTAAGTAATACTAGCAAAATTTTATTATATTGTTTTACACTGAACATTATTAACGTGGTTTTCAAAAATTTTGTAAAAAATAATTACCTTGTACGTATAATATTAATTGATAAGATATTATATTTATGAAAATGCATTATACAACATCGTGTACACTTTATAACAAACGCACACGAGTTCGTGTTATTGACTACCAGATGTTTGTAGCAACTGAAGTAAACGAGATACATGTTTCGTATGTAGTTTGATAGTTTCTCAACGAGCGTAATAATATTTAATTAATAATTTCACAATTAAGTTATGGCCACTGTAGGCATCAATGGATTTGGTAGAATAGGAAGGATGTGTCTTCGTGCTTGCATAGAAAAGAGTATTGAAGTAATATATGAACTATTTAAAATTGACACATTTTCTCTACGGTGTGAATTCAAACGATACATTTTAATAGGTTAAACTAATCAACGATCCTTATATTACAACCGATTATATGTTATATTTATTCAAATACGATTCAACTCATGGCACCTATCCGTTAAGGCTGGAGTGCGAAGACGGGAATATTGTTATTGCAGGTATATATGTGTCCTAAACAATTTGTTGTGCATTGTCTTATACCTAACTCTAATTCGGATACTAAATTTTATATTAGGCACAGATAATACGGTAACACAAAATATTTATGGCCTCACATTTAAAGATATAAGTATAGTTTTTTATTTTTTATTTAAATGTTTACATTTCATACTAAACTACATTTTATATTAGACACAAAAATAATATAATAGTACAAACTATTTGTTTATCGTCTTACTATATTTATTATTACTATGTTTTATTATTACTTTTATATATTTTATTATTACAAAATTATATAAACAATTTATTTTGTTCTAATTAAGAGAGATCATATATAGATTATATTAAACATAGGTAATATAATTATAGATAATATCAATTGTATTATATTTAGTAATGGATTACAATTATTTTACTATTTAAATTTAATTATTTACTATTAATTTGCTTCGTATTGTTAGATACATGTTATATAACAGTGAAAATGAACGATTGATTTTGTTGTATTTTGATCAAAGATAAGAAAATCTGCACATCGCAAGAAAAAAATCCAAGCAAAATAAAATGGAAAGATGCTGGCGTTGTTTATGTAATTGAAGCTACTGGTGTATTTAATACCTTGGACAAAGCAGGGGTAAGGAATTATAATCTTATTATTGTCGATTATCTTGTTCTATTATTATCTGTTTTAAATCTTGAAATAAAAATAAATAATAATATATTACATCTTTCTTTGTATTTATTTATTACGACGTGACGACAATAATATAAACAATAACATATAATCTTAAGTAATAAATTTTCAATATTTATATATATATATATATATTTGCAATTTATATATTATTTATATTATATTAATATTTATATATTTTGCATTTATATATGCAATATTTATATTTCAATATCGTGTCGATTGTGTGTCAACATAATTATTCATGACTGTTTTAGTTACACATGGACGGCGGCGCTAAAAGGGTTATTATCACGGCACCATCCGTTGACGCGCCAATGATTATTTTTGGCGTGAATCAAAGTTGTTACGACCCAACAAAAAGTAAAATCGTATCAACTGCTTCCTGCACAACCAATTGTGCAGCACCGCTTATCCAAGTTATGCACGAAAATTTCGATGTTATCGAGGTGATGATCAGCAGCGTGCATGCTTTGACACCGTCCCAAAGAATTTTGGATGGACCTATAGAGAGAGGAAAAGTAAATATCGTTAATATCGTTACCATAATTATTATTATTATTTCAAAACTGCTATAATTAGACGGCAGATTTTATGACAAAAATGAGTAGATCGAATGCAAAACTATAAATGCATTAGAAGAATTTGTGAACATTGTTACGTTATTTTTGAATTTATTTAAGCAATTAAATATAATATTTAAAATAAACACGATATAAAAATATATTAATTAAATATAATATTGTCAATATATACGTCACATTACATATATACCATTACTCCAAATTTAAGTTGATAAGTGAAATATATAAAACTGCAAAGACATTTGAGGAATTTAATATATTGTTATTAGTTTTTAATTACTGTTCAACTTATTACAATATTTCATTTTACATATTCATCTTGCAATTAACTTAGACTATTTTGATTTTACATAAAGATTTTATGCATTTATGATAAAAATGAAATGAAGTGTAAAATAATAGAAAAATAGAGAGGTTTTATGAATACATGATCTTCAATATATTGAAATTATTAATAAAAGAAATAGATTTCTACTTTCTGTATCTTACCATTGGCTATCTTTCATGCTTATATAATAGTGCACAAAGTGTAAAATCCTAATATAATGTAACCATACATTTGTGTCATAGTTATGGAGAGATGGCAGAAGCGGTGTACAAAATATAATTCCAACATCTTCTGGAGCAGCCAAATCGTTGGACAAAATTATTCCTGACCTGAAAGGCAAAATTTCTGCAATAGCTTTCAGAGTACCGGTCCCAAATGTCTCTTTGTGCGATATGACGTTCAGGTGCATACTGGGTCACATAATAAATAAATGGAACATCTAAATATCTACAATTACATGGAAAAACGTCATATGTTTTCGATTTCGTAATATTGTCGCTTAAAACTCTGACCGCTACTTCTTCGTCTCAGTAATGTTTCGAATTGCATTACTTTTTTTGAGCGTATCCAAGATATTCTCATGATTTTTATCTGATAAATACGTAAACTTCTATATTTTACAGCAATTAATGTACAAACCTAAATTTTTTCAAATCATAACATGCGGCGTTTCTGCTTAGAGCCACCGATATAATAAGGATTAACCCTTTGCACTCGAGTGGTGACTCCGAGGCACCAGTAAAATTGTTATGTCACGTTCTAAGATCATTTTTATATTATCGAAGCTTAGATTTTAAATATTATTAAAAAGTATAACTGTTGCATGGATCGCGAGACGCAATTTCGTATGCATAAAATGCACTTTGTCGTATAAAATGGAAATACTGTAAGTCGGAAGAATTATTTTAGATTGACTGTTAAAAGGCTTCGAGTGCAAAGGGTTGATACTTGAATATCTCTCTTATCTTTGGTGCTATAGAAAAGAACTTTATTAACAGAAGTATTTCGGTTACGCTTCTGTTAACAGAAATATATACAACAAAAATATATAAGATTTGAGCAATTCTATTCATTCAAATTGGTTCTCACTGGATCACCCTGCAATAAAGTCACAGTACAATAATCTACATTTCCGTTATACGATTTAGGGTGAACAAGCCCACGACATACGAAGAAGTGAAGGACGCAATGAAAATGGCGTCGGAAGTTTCTCACGCGAACATCATCGGCTACACAGACGACGACTGCGTGTCATCTGATTTCATGAACACGAGTTATTCGTGTATATTTGACGCGAAAGCTGGCATTCCGCAAACAAGTACATTCATCAAAGTTGTCGCATGGTAATTTGACAACATTTCGTAATATACAGTAATTTCTCCTAAAAATGTTCAAAGGTCGGAATTGGAACCGACAGATCTGAGAATACTAAGACGCGATTTTTCGAGCCTGGCGGCTCGTTTTTATAGAAACTCGGGGCAGTCGGCAAAAAAAAAAGACAGCGGCCACCATACCGGTGTACATTAATACGAACACATAATAATGCTAGAATGAAAACGATGATTTAACTCTTTTATCAATAATTAATTTTAAATTAACTAATTTTTTGCCACGATTCGAACGCAATTCGGAGGCCACATGACACGATTCGAAGGCAATTCGGAGGCCACGTGCCACGATTCGACGGTCACGTACCTAGTACAGTAATTTCTCCCTAATTTGCGCTGAGATTGCGCACAAAAATGGACGATTTGGGAAGAAGAGTTACGATTATTCGAGCTTTGCGGCTTGTTTTCATAGTCACCGATTGTCAACAACTACAAAAACGAGACTCAAGCCTCGAATAATCGTATCTTCTCCTCCCAAATTTTCCATTTTTGTGCGCAATCTCAGCGCAAATTAGGGAGGAATTACTGTACCTATTTCGTACCTTGTAGCTCCGCGGTTTTTCTTACCTGACTCACACCCAACACAGACCATTTTGTATTGTCTTCCGGGAATTCGCATCGCGTGCCGCATCAATCGCGACCCTTAGCATCGACGTAGCAATAGATTACATAGGCGTAGGAATTACGCAGGGAAATTCATAGCAATCCGAGATTTGGCATTTCCGGGAGAAATTACTGTACCGCGTAACGTACAAACGTTTATCAGTGAATAATTTAGTTCCTCTTAATGTTATTATCGTTTCAAATAACGAAGTGAATAAAATTAATGTGTTTCAATTTTATGGGAACCGTTAATTTCATCGACGTCAACTAATATTCGTAAATGTTTGTAGGTACGACAACGAGTACGGTTACGCGAATCGTGTGGTAGATCTGGTGGAGTACATGCATAAAGTTGATTCTGGGGAAGAGACTGCAATGAGACCAGACGAAGGTTCGGTAAACGATGATGCATAGAGATCGTGCAATGTCATTTCAGTGTTCAAATAAAACGTCACAATAATTAGAAAAAAAGGTATTTTATTTATCACTATTTACATTAGAAATCAATTTTAATGGTTTGCATATTCATCGATCGTTGTTGCGTTAGCTGCTACTTCATTTCATTCAAAAATCCTGCTTTTAGTCTCACGCGATTTTCAGTGTGACATGATTTTTCAAGTTTACGTAATTAGACTTGCGTCGAGAATAATAAACCGATGTTAAGATATTTCGAATAAATAACACGTCAGCAAAGTAGACGAATTGAATATACGAAAACTATTGGAATCACAAGTGAAACTGTTTACTATTAATTTAAGTGAACACATTCTGAAGAATTATCATTCCTAAATTTTCTTTAAATTTGTTGCTGGTTTCATTGCGCATTATCACTAGGATACCATTTGCGTACATGAACCGTCGGTCTCCTGTTTTGCTGTTGCGTTGGGTGCGATGTAATTTCCAGTATTACAGGCCCACCATTTTTCTCTCGATGCACTGTGCTCGGTCTTACGTCAATTTCCAATTTTGGTTGACTCGAAGGTCTGTGACCTGCAACGTTTTTATTGTTATATTATTGTTAGTTTCGTTAGTCAACGACTCTATTTATTAATATTGAGATGTGCATTTCCCAACTCAGCTGTAATTAACGCTGCACACGTTTATTATTTTATAGCAATGATTGAATTCGTATAATTGAATATTCGTACGATCATCGATTATAATTAAACTGCGGATCTTTATGCGAAATAATAATTGTCCAAGAATTGTAAGAAACAGAAATTAAATCAAAGTAAATTGTTTCTTTTAATAATTGTGATAAATTGAAAATAGAGTAAGAATATTATTAAATTCTTCTTATGTTTTCACAATTTAATATTTTATACATTCAATTCTGCCATAAATACATCAAATCCGCAGTCTAATTATAGTCCTTACAGAATTATATTTAATAAGTTGAAAATAGAGTAAGTATATTATTATTATTAATATATAAGTATATTATGCTCGTAATACATAAGTATATTATTATTATTAATATATTATTAATATATAAAAAAATAATTCTTCTTATGTCTTCACAATTGAATATTTTAGCTATTCTACACGTTTACCATAAATGCATGAAATAAATCCGGAGAAGTTCATCAAAATCTGTCTTATGAAAACAATTTTATAATTTCAGTAATCGTAAATAAAAAAAAAATGGAAAATCAGTCATTTCTAGTATTAAATTTTTCTAACGTGTCTTACCATTGTTATTGTTTGGTCGAATATTAGTCCATATCGGATATCTATTATTTTGTCCCGGAAATCGAATTTTCATTCCGCGTCCAGTGTTTCCTGCGTTCGAAGATGCAGTGGAATGCGAGGAGCTAACAGAGGAAGCTGCAGCTGTAGATACTTGTCCATTTTGAACCGAGGCCGACGAAGAAGCAGCCGCACTGACGCCAAAAGATGGTCTGTTAGCGTGGCCCTGATTATTATAATCCGGTTGGTGTTGATCGACAGCATGGACTGTCGAACCGGTGGTGCCTGATGATCCAGCAGCCAATGACACTGCCTGACTCTGCGAAATCAGGCTGCAGACCAATTTAATTGACGCGTGTTAGTTTATTACGATGACGTGACTGAACTTACTTAGACTTTTACTACAATTTTTATTATATCGTTAGCTCGGATTAAGAAATTATTCAATTGTTTCCTAGAAAAGAGAATTTACGATTTCGAAGCTGTGAAACTGGCCATTTCGATTCGATAGGTCAACTGTAAAAAGCTAGCGTTATGCGCGTAAAACAATCATCATTTTGCAAACCAAATTCGTTATTTTACAAATCTAATTCATCTCGAATCATATGTATATTCGCAAGGCATTTTATTTTCCTGTACGTTGTAACAACGAAAAGTTGCATAATCTTAACACTTTATCTATCCAGTAGTTTTCTAATAGTCCTTTTAAAGTAGAAGATCAACAGATGAGATTTTCTTCAAAATTGTTCAAAAGCAACGACAATTTCAGTCGTGGTCCAACAAATTAATTGCATCGGTATAATGAAGCCCGAAGCCAATTCCAACTTAAATCTATTTTGCAAAACGACCTAAACAATAGCAAGTATATCTCTCAAGTTATTTCATTCTTAAAACACACCTTATTATATAATGAAGTATAAAGAACAATGAAATAATAATTATAATATAATTATAATATTATATTAATTATTATATTATAATTATAATATATAATATTATATTAATTATTATATTATAATTATAATATATAATTATATATATATTATATATAATATAATTATAATATTATATATTAATTATTATATTATAATTATAATAAAAAAACTTCCTTTAGAATTATTATTTAAAAGATAATTTACAAGTAATTATTTAAAAATGTGCTTCTTTAAGGTACAACTCGGCCATTAAGCAGCCTATCGACAAACTTCTGGTAGATAAAGGTGTTAATTGAAAGTTTTTTTTTGCAACTCTTACCAAATTCGTGAAAACTCTAATTACACCACAAATGAGCGCAACTATTGTTGCCATTATTATACACTATTCTAGAAAATAATTCATAGGCCGTTGAAATGGAACTACAAATAGCTAGAAATCAGTTCAACTTTTCTTCACAAGTTATGTCAAATCAAACTCGATCAAAGGATGATAAATTACTGAAATCCAATGTCCCTGAACGCTATGTCAAGTTACATTGTTTAGCCTTTCTTTTTCTTACTTTACTAAATATATCGGAGATTGTGAAAGTGCTCCGAATTCGACTACAAATATTTCAACACATCAGGATCACCAACTTGGTTTTAGCGAGATTATTCTTACTCTGAAGAAATGATTCCATGTTATTGTAATGTAAATCACTGTTGCATACGCCTCAAATTCAAGTGTCTCTTGGAGTATTTACTCGGAGCACTTTGACAATTACCGATATATGTCACGATTTCTTTTTTTTTTTGCTCGGTGCAGAGACGTACGGATTGTTGAAGCTGTTACTCTCGGAGTAGCTGAGACCTCCGGGGCCTACTTGAAAGCCTAAAGAATGGGCATTGTTCCCGGTGTTCAAGTTAATATTCGCCGTAATCGGAATGGACAACGATCGTCCGTTCTTCGCGTTAGACCCCTTGATGACTTCCTCCGGTATGAGCTCCGGCGGTGTATTCCATCGTCGTTCGTCTTCTGTGAGAGGAACGCGATCATCTGGGAAACGAGAAACGTTTTTAACTGACATATAGGGGACACGGTATTTTCTCATTTCCATGGCTTCATCTTCGTTCTTCCTTTCTCCAAAGATCATAGTCGATTTGAGAGAACATACCATTCTCAACAAATTAGTTAACATTAAATGGCACCGAATACTGTAGATGTACTATTATCGCTAAGTAGATTGCAGATTATGCGTGTGATATGAAAGTCTTCGAAAAGATTGTCCAACGTCCAATGGTCTGCGTATTTATAAACGTATTTATAAAATTTTGTCAATAAAGTGCATTTAGCTTCTTCATGAAGCTTCGCATCGAATAAAAATATGCTTTCTGTACATGAAGCAAGCTTTAGCTATCGTATAAACTCACTTTAATTCTTCACAAAGCATTTGAATATACTCAAAATAGTATAAAAGCTCAATGTATTGTATCATTGATTTTAGTGTTACAGCATAAATATTCGCTGTCTGATCATTAATACGATGATAGAACGTTATTAATACAGTGACAGAATCGATCAAATTTAATCGATAGAAATCTATTACAGATTTAGATGTTAAGAAGAAATGTAATAAAGTAATTGAGATATTTTAAGAACCTAATTTTTAATTAGTTCTAAAACGAACTCAACACACCACATCACTTTATACGTTTATAGCATTTGTTGTTTTAAATAGAGTGCGACACGCATACATAGTTATGCGACACGCATTTCCAGATTAATAGCAAGTGTTATTTTTACCTGCCCACGCAACTAAACACACGACACAGAGTGACACGATGAAGAAACTGCTCCTGGCCATGACTAACAGTGTTCTGACTTCAGCACGACTATTCTCCGCCCTTTTTCAAGAAGTATGAACGACCTTGAACTCCTTATTGATATTCGATGGGCGTCCATTTACGTAATACTTCTCGTTGTATAGAGACACAATCCTTCGATGACTCGTTCGTACGAAAAGAAATGTGACTTTCGGGGAGAAGCAATTCAGTAGGTTGCATTTCACGAACGAGGATCCACGCTGACATTGACGTAAACCTCGCAATATTGATTTCAATGCAACAAATCGCATCGAAGTTCACAGTTTCCTTTTCAATCAGAGGAAAATCGCTGATTACTATTTTAAATTATAAAGAAAAATAACAATATTCTGGAAAAGCTAAGAACCTAATTTTTCCATATGCAGCCCTATTTTTACAATCTATTTATATCTTTGCTGTGTTAGTGTCAAATAACATTGCTCATTCGACATTTCCTCATTTCTTTAACATCCGAACGATTTGTATAAATAAACTCCATTGTTTTAAAATCGACTACTAAATTACTTGTGTTAGCTTTAATTACTTGCGTTATCTTTAGTTTAGGGGAAATGTTTGTTGAGTTCTTTCTGTCAAAAAACTACGGGTCATTGTGCAAAAATCGAAGTTTATTGTGTCATTTACAAAACGTTGAAGTGATATTAAAATGAAAAATGTTAGTTGTCCAAACTGATGTGTAACTCCGATGTTTTTACTGTTTTCTATTTCGTCTTCTCTCAGTTTTGTCGCAACTGCATAAAATTCACGATCCATTTATGACTTTCGTGTTGCGTTCGGTGTCACAACTCTTAAGCATCATTTCCGTCGCCGTCATATGTCAATGGCATTCCCTTGAAATTCTTTCCCATGTAATTGCTGCTTCCTTCGTCCGCCGGCTGAACATTCCGCTCGCCGATTTCTTCAGCGACAATGTCCTCGGAGTTGCTAGATTTTGAACTCTCTTCCCTATTTTTCAAATCATTTTCTGATCTCATTAATTTTCTTATCCGTTCGAATACCTTTTCTTTCAAATGAGATATGAACTCCACTTCTGTAGTATTTTTGTCATTGTACTCGTCGGATATATTTTCATTGACGTCCAATTTAGCAGAAGAATTATCGGTTTTTGACGGATCGACGAATGTCTCATTGCCCATTTGCATTAATTTTGTTGCATTTTCATCGGAAGCGAGATCATCGTGAATGACTTTATTTTGAGAGTCCGATGGAGTATTTGAGTTTCCATTTGCGATTTTCTTTTTATTGTCCAAAATATCGACGACTGATTGCTTCGATTTGTCGTACACGAAAACTTCAGGCTCTATATTAGAATCATCATTGTTCGGTGTTGGAACGGATGGGGATTCGCAAAACGCTGCTTTAGGCCCTGTTTAGAAAATTAATTAATTTCAATATATTTGTAAAGATCTCATGATAAAGAAATTTTCATTCATATAAATATATGAATTTATTCACTCTAGTTTGTATTTTTGATTGACAACGTTAGATTAATAATTGATATAGCTTTTTATATTATTATTAGATTTTATTTAAGAGATAACGTCCTCTCTTTCTTAATGACGTACAAGTTATTCAGAATTCCTAATAGAAATATTTGGTATATTTTTTATATACTTGTGAATGATCATGTTTATTATTATATTTTATATATTATGTAATATAATATAATATAATATAATATAACATAATATAATATAATATCTGTCTCTTATACACATCTAGATGTGTATAAGAGACAGATGTTAAGCAACAATGGAGATGTGTATAAGAGACAGATGTTAAGCAACAATGGAGATGTGTATAAGAGACAGATGTTAAGCAACAATGGAGATGTGTATAAGAGACAGATGTTAAGCAACAATGGAGATGTGTATAAGAGACAGATGTTAAGCAACAATGGAGATGTGTATAAGAGACAGATGTTAAGCAACAATGGAGATGTGTATAAGAGACAGATGTTAAGCAACAATGGAGATGTGTATAAGAGACAGATGTTAAGCAACAATGGAGATGTGTATAAGAGACAGATGTTAAGCAACAATGGAGATGTGTATAAGAGACAGATGTTAAGCAACAATGGAGATGTGTATAAGAGACAGATGTTAAGCAACAATGGAGATGTGTATAAGAGACAGATGTTAAGCAACAATGGAGATGTGTATAAGAGACAGATGTTAAGCAACAATGGAGATGTGTATAAGAGACAGATGTTAAGCAACAATGGAGATGTGTATAAGAGACAGATGTTAAGCAACAATGGAGATGTGTATAAGAGACAGATGTTAAGCAACAATGGAGATGTGTATAAGAGACAGATGTTAAGCAACAATGGAGATGTGTATAAGAGACAGATGTTAAGCAACAATGGAGATGTGTATAAGAGACAGATGTTAAGCAACAATGGAGATGTGTATAAGAGACAGATGTTAAGCAACAATGGAGATGTGTATAAGAGACAGATGTTAAGCAACAATGGAGATGTGTATAAGAGACAGATGTTAAGCAACAATGGAGATGTGTATAAGAGACAGATGTTAAGCAACAATGGAGATGTGTATAAGAGACAGATGTTAAGCAACAATGGAGATGTGTATAAGAGACAGATGTTAAGCAACAATGGAGATGTGTATAAGAGACAGATGTTAAGCAACAATGGAGATGTGTATAAGAGACAGATGTTAAGCAACAATGGAGATGTGTATAAGAGACAGATGTTAAGCAACAATGGAGATGTGTATAAGAGACAGATGTTAAGCAACAATGGAGATGTGTATAAGAGACAGATGTTAAGCAACAATGGAGATGTGTATAAGAGACAGATGTTAAGCAACAATGGAGATGTGTATAAGAGACAGATGTTAAGCAACAATGGAGATGTGTATAAGAGACAGATGTTAAGCAACAATGGAGATGTGTATAAGAGACAGATGTTAAGCAACAATGGAGATGTGTATAAGAGACAGATGTTAAGCAACAATGGAGATGTGTATAAGAGACAGATGTTAAGCAACAATGGAGATGTGTATAAGAGACAGATGTTAAGCAACAATGGAGATGTGTATAAGAGACAGATGTTAAGCAACAATGGAGATGTGTATAAGAGACAGATGTTAAGCAACAATGGAGATGTGTATAAGAGACAGATGTTAAGCAACAATGGAGATGTGTATAAGAGACAGATGTTAAGCAACAATGGAGATGTGTATAAGAGACAGATGTTAAGCAACAATGGAGATGTGTATAAGAGACAGATGTTAAGCAACAATGGAGATGTGTATAAGAGACAGATGTTAAGCAACAATGGAGATGTGTATAAGAGACAGATGTTAAGCAACAATGGAGATGTGTATAAGAGACAGATATAATATAATATAATAATATATTATAATAATAATTATTATTATATAATATTCATCAATCTTTAACACTTATTTGTAACTAGAAAAATAGATTTTACTGTCTCATTTGTAAAACAACGATTTAGTCAGAGTACGCTATCAGAATGTCAAAGTACATTATACATATTCAAAGTTTTATACACATACAATTGTTACTACAGTTACCTTCAGTGAGCTGTCTTAGCAGTTTCAGCATTTCTTCCTGGTTTTTCTGTATTGTTTCCATTCCCTTCTTCAACGCTGTCACATCTCCGCTATTGTCTTTGAACAAATTATTGACCGAAAATGTCGAAACCGGTAGCATCCAAGAATGATGTGAACGTGGATTCCGATGTACGTTTGATTGAAGCGTTTTTACGTATTCATTTGATTCGTTGTTAACTAAGAAATTATCCAGTGATTTACCTAAAATAGAAATACCTTTTTGGTGTTTTGTCTTTGAAGACGTTAAACTTTACTGCATGCTTAAAAGAATTGTATTATATAATGTATTAATAACATATTGTTATAATATTTTCAAATTGCAGAGAGATTCGTTTATATTACTAATATTATAATATATTAATATACATATATTGCTAATATTATATATCATTATTTACTATTGTTACTAATATTATATATTATATATTACTAATATAATATATTATATTATTAATAAGAAAGCGATAAAAAATATTGCACCATTATTAATCTGTAAAATGAGCACTACGGTGATCTCAAAATAATTTCACATTTGGAAGCATATAAAAGAATGAATCATAATGTTAAGCAACAATGGCTCGTTCATAAAATAAACCATACCAACCATTTCTGTCTTACATCGTAATCACGAAATAAAAAGGCGAACGAAACATTTTGCTAGTGGCAGTAGATGATCTCAGACTTTCGAATAGCGTTGTAGCATTTACAATTTGTTGTCTACAAATAATGTTGAGTCATTCACGGATGTGAATTGCCTTAAAATTTTTTTATCTTGTCTTTCTGTTTTTTTTTATTCAGGAAACTCCAACGTCGCCGGATTGAACGTTCTTTCGACTAATCACCGAGACTTTTGTCCGAATTCAAATGACGACGAAGGTATAATTTCAGTTCTTCGAAACCGACTACGAAATCGAAGAGGCATGAAACATGTATTATAATTTGGATAATAGTCAGACAAGGTCATCCTTTTTTACTAATGCCGCGATTTATTGAATTCGAATTTATTTAATTGAATTCGATTTGTACGACAACTGTGGAATTTCAAGATTTTCAAGTTTCGTAAACACGCTACCTAATATTTCAAACGTATATTAAATAATCGTAAAAAGAATATATGTGTATGTTTGAATAATTATGACAATTTGATGAGAATGTTGTTCTATATATATAATAATAATAATAATAATAATAATAATAATAATATATTATAAATTAATTATTATATATATAATTATTATAATAATTAGTAGTAATAATTCTATATATATAATAATAATTTATAATAATATAAAATATTATTCTGATTATGTTTCAAAACATACATTGGTGAGAATGAAATATATATTTTTAGCATTTAAAATGTATCGACATAATGTCAAAAATATATTGTATCCTTAACAATGTATATACCATAAATTAACGAGAATGATGTTTCCATGCGTAATCTTGGTGCAAATTATTTGTCGTATCACTTAAAGCATACCTCAACGTCTTCGGGGAGGGTATTACAGTGTAACGTTATCTGAAAAATCTGTGCGTCATTAAAGTATCCGTGAACTGACGGGCGAACGCAAAAAAACATAGCATTCAATCATAGGAATATCCGATCAATCATAATACAATCGACAGTATGTTAGATTATTAAATGATGCAAACAGATTTCTCGGTTTTAGACAATTATGTGAATGATTCACATTGTTCGTTCTTCAGAAGAATATTATTCATTGTTACATAATTTCGATGCACATAGTATTAGAATATCACAGTGCTACAAATATTACAGATTCGAATAATAATCGAAACTATCACTTAACTACTAACTTACCATATTCGAACATTCACATTTAACTCAAATGATTTATTTTAACGTAAATATTCTTCAAATCATTAATCGTATGTGATTATGCATTTGTATGCACTTACGACATTTGCCAAATTATACAATACAGGAACACGGACATGGACAATTTTAATATAACAAATCGTTCAGGCAGCAAATTAAGATTTTTCCTTCGTCTGGTTTTCATAAAATCGAGGAAAGTGGGAATTTACATAATGATCCGTGGTCTCATTATAAAAACGTTTCGAATATGTGAAAAGAATGATAATTTCCCGTTTTCCAGTAGATGATTTGTAAAAAGTACCTCTAACGTTGTCACGCTGCGATAGAAGAAGGACCATGAGCATTAAGATTCTTGTTCTCGACATGATCGTCTTCGTTAGTTGAACGTATAGGTCGTCGCTCGTAAACAAAAACCTCACTAAACTGTCTACCTTCAACGTTCGATTTATATATGTACATGCCTGGAAACCCTGGAGCAACATGGCGATATTAGCATGCAGGCTATCGGGAACCGAGTTAACGACGGTTTCCAAAAGAATCTTATCTCTGGAAAACTCTCTCTCTCTGTACAGCACTTTCAGCTGCATATTATCCTTCCTCCCTTGTACAGCTATGGTTTCGTAAGATTTCACAGATTACACGATAAGCAGTTGCATTAGAAACCCAACACCACTTTCCCGAACCGATAGGAACGCACGACGGTCTCTTCTGACCGGAAACCCAAAATTTCTATTCAAAGTTCTATTAACCAAACAGAGTGTTCCCTACCGACCTTCCTCCGAAGAAGTTCTTATCCTAAAAACATAGTTGTGTAAAATATACAAGAGGATCCACATTGTGCTTATTTTGAGTTTACACACGTAATTGTTTTATTTACACAGCATTATAGGTATGTGGTAATGTAATCAATTTATTTCCATACTTTTATGTTAAAGTTTTTGGTATTTTTATAGATACTCAGCCTTTATGTTTTCACAATTTTAAATTTAGATAGTGAAATAAAATATATATAATAAATTTAAATAATAACAAATGATATTAATATATGTATACATATTGAATTCGTTTGTGAATTTTTATGAAATTAGGTGAACATTTTGGCTAAAATTAATTACGAACTTTGAGTGTCATTTTATACTCTGTAAAAAATGCCAGAGTTTTACGAAAATGCATATTAAATGAATTTTTTCGCTCTGAGTTCTGCGAATAATTCTTTTAATATGAGATTTTAAAACAGAGTTGCAAGTTTTCGAAGCTGATGTTCAAAATCGGTCATTATTTCTGCACGAATCTGATAAATGAATTAAAATTTTTTAGACCAGTGCTCACGAATCAATACGTTTTGTTAAACTAGTTTCAATCATGATACAATTTCGCAGTAAAATTGTGACACAAACGTTACATAAATGCACCGCGATTGGAGTGCAAATTATGTCAATATTTAATGTAGATTGATATCCTTTTTACAGCTTCATTTAGAAGTTTTGTTATGTTGAAATAAAACGAAAATACTCAAAGTACATAAACAAATTTTCTCTTGCACATCGGTGACTTGTTCGCGTTATTTAAATCGAATCGAATCTCATCGGTATTATTTTTTTGTATGTGGCAGTTCATAACATACATACCTTTAATTTCATCTATCGTGCACTAAAAACAAATGTTATTATTGCTAACTCTGTGCATCATTCTTTTCGACATACTCGTACAGTTTAGGTGAAATTGAGTGAAACGCTGTGTCCACATTGAGACAATAATAAGCAACTTCTTGTTGACGTTACGTGAAAAAAGATCGTAGCTTGTTGGCAAATATTTTTCCAAGTTTGATCGTGTTTTCTTTTGCGAAATGGTAAAAATCAAAGTGGAATAGAAAACATATGGTTTGTCATTATTCTTTCTCGTTTGATTTTGCAAAACATTTATTAAAACGCTCGGAATGGTAAAGTAGATGCAAGATCCATTTATCAAGTTGATGAAAAGGTACAAATGACAAATAAATGTTTGTATAAGTTCCTACGGATAAGAATTATAAACGCGGAAACGCAAAAGTTCTGTTGTTTCTTTTTCTTTGTTGCTAATAAGTAGACTGTGGATATTTGTGAAAGTAAAATATGTCAGAATATGCAATAAATATTCAGGAAATATGTAAGATATGTACGAAATACGCAGAATATGCAAGAAATATTCGTAATATGCAGGAAATATGTAGAATGAAAACGAAAACGTAGTATCATTTATATTGTCATTTTTAGCAGAAAGTTTTTACTAGAATTTTTTACTAGAATTACAATAAATTACTATGGTTTTATCATGTATAAATTGGATGTCGCTTATCGGTTAATTTATTCCGAGAAAGATCATTCGACATCGCAAGATGTAAAAGGTTCAAGCTTCTTTCGTCTTTCAACAGCTATATCTTTTAAAAGGTCAACAATTTTTAATGTTACATTAAAATTTTGATTTATTCCCATAACTTACTTTCTATTATCTGTCCCTGTCTCTAAAGAATATCTTGGAAATGTATGCGATCGATAAACATCGTAATAACATAACATCGACAACAATAATACGTAATTACGATGCTTATAATATGCAAAACGTGTGCAATATGCAAAGTAAAAAATATAATTTTAGAATCTCCTAATGAGGTTCTTTTAACGAGGTCCTCCTAATTAGTTTCCATTAACTTTTTCCTGTTTTCTATAAAATAATGCATTTGCATAAACATTCAGTCTACTAATAAATATACTGCAGGTCATTATAAAAAATATAATTTTAGAATCTCCTAATGAGGTTCTTTTAATAAGGTCCTCCTAATTAGTTTCCATTAACTTTTTCCTGTTTTCTATAAAATAATGCATTTGCATAAACATTCAGTCTACTAATAAATATACTGCAGGTCATTATAAAAAATATAATTTTAGAATCTCCTAATGAGGTTCTTTTAATAAGGTCCTCCTAATTAGTTTCCATTAACTTTTTCCTGTTTTCTATAAAATTATGCATTTGCATAAACATTCAGTCTACTAATAACTATACTGCAGGTCATTATACATTAACAAAATCTATTTTTCCGATATATGAAACTTAAGAAATTGAATCGTGGCCATGGAACGCTAATTGACCAGACCATTGTTCGATGGACGTAGCCTCGAACACGCGCGTGTCGCGACTGTAAACAAAATTCCCACATTATCCACACCTGAAACCATATACAGGGTGTCCCAAAAATGTCTCGCTATCCGGAAATGGGAGGTTTTTGGGGTCATTTGAAGTAACTTTTCCTTAGTGAAAATGCAATCTGCGGCTTTGTTTACGAGTTATTAACGAAAAATGGTGGCCAATGAGAGGCGAGATCAGCTGGCACGAGACGGCTGAGCCAATGAGCGGAACTGTGTTTCATGCGCTCGTTGGCTGAGCCCATTGGTCAGTGTTTTTCGTTAATAATTTGTAAACAAAGCCGCGGATTGCATTTTCGTTAGGAAGAAAATTGCTTCAAATGACTCCAGCGACTCTCCATTTCTGGATTACGAGACATTTTTGGGACACCCTCTATAACTATAGACATGGCTTCAGGCAATTTACCTAAAGCGAAATTGAGATCATCTACGTGACGTCAAAGTGAACAAGATTGTATAAGCTATGCTACTATGATATACGATCTGCAATATCGAAGGAGTTACACACCGATCTTCCAAACGTGTTAAACTGTTTTAACACGTTCGACGTTAGTGAAAATATACGAAAGACAAATTCGGAACAATATTGGAACAGTATTAGAAAACAAATTGAATTGATTAAATATAAATATGCGTATTTTGAGAATTATAATTTCGCAGAATGTATTCAAAATATAACTGATACGTTGATTCTAATTGTTTCAATTAATTAAATAACGTGATTTAATTCTACATTATTGTCATTGCGCACACCTTTTAAAACGCAACAACTTTTTAAAAACTGGACTAAGTGACTTGAATTTCTTTTAAATGATAGCGGGACTAGTCGACTAGACGATGACCAAAAATGCTTTCTCAAAATTTAGCTACTACTTCGAATTACAGAAGAAATAAAAGCTCTCGTTTTTTAACTTTTTTATCCGAGCCGACAACGGAAATTTAAAAAACGCCTCTCGTACCGATTTCGATGACATTTTCAGCACTCGTATAAGTTACCGAGATCTACGAATATGTGTTGTTTCGGATAAAAAAGTTAAAAACCAAGACTTTTTTATTCTTTTGTTGTCAGCCCAAGTAACAGCGAAATTTAAAAAAGGCATTTTGATCATCGTCCAGTAGACTAGCCCCTCTATCATCTAAAAAAACTTCAAATCACTTAGTCCAGTTCTAAAAAAAATCATTGCATTTTAGAAGGTGTACGCTCAATTTTGTGAGTAACTGTATTTAGATTTGGTGGAACACTTGGAAATGGCAATACGCAATCATCGAAATATCGAAGCGACCAGCCGGAAGCAGAAGGAATGTTCGCACGAGAGTGGTTTATTGCTATCGACGGATCTCGACGTTCGTTTCATAAGAAGGAACAATGGGGCAGGTAGCTCCGCGGTTCACGTGTGCGAGCGTGTGTAGTATTCCTAGGCCCGCGAGTAGGTTGCGCCGTCTTGACATTGAACCCGAGAGGCAGATGTACCTTGGCTTCAGAGACAATAAACGTCTTCGTGAAACGGAACGAGCGGCTGTCCAAAGCCTCTGCGAATTAATACGCAGCAGAAGGTAATCAACTTTCGCGATTGGGTATTCCCCGGCGGCGTCATTCGTCCGTCCGTAGCCAAGGAACTTATCTAGCGGCAACGCGGCTGGAGATTCTACGCAAATCGTTTGTTTCTTTTTTTCTCTTCCGAATTTTACCATCCACCGTACGATGCACATTTCTTGCATATTATTCGAAAGAATTAATATAAATAGTTCGCTGTGGTCAATTGTGCTGGTAATTAGTGACCGGTTGAGAATTCGCTTCGAACGCCGAACATCCGTTAGCGTGTACTTCGAACGTGAATTACAACCTGGGATCGGCATAAACAGTTATCTCTCGTTTTCGAAGATATTCTGTGTGCTTTGTTTTTGAAAATATATCTGGATGTTTATTAGGAGAGATTTCGCGAGCAAGCTTTTTACTGTAATAATCGTTTAATCGTTCTTTTTAGCAAGCGTTTAAGGTTGCATCAATTCGATTAGCTTATACAATGTAATGCAATATTCTAGTAGTTATAATATAAAATTATTGTTATTATAATATTATTATCATAATATAAAATTATTGTTATTATAATATTATTATCATAATATAAAATTATTATTATTATAATATTATTATTATAATATAAAATTATTATTATAATATATCTA